TCTCTCTCTCTCTCTTTAAAAAAAATAAGTGGGATGGCATCAAATTAAAACACTTCTGCTCAGCAAAGGAAACGAGTGTGAAGGGAGACCCTACAGAATGGGAGAAGATCTTTGCCACCTGCTCCTCAAATAGGGCATTAATATCCAGAGTGTACAAATAACTCAACACCAAAAAAACAAGTAACCCAATCAATAAATGGAAAAGAACCAGGTGTAATGGCACATGCCTGTAATCCCAGTGGTTTGGGAGGCTGTGACAGGAGGATGGTGAGTTCAAAGCTAGCCTCAGCAATGGCAAGGCACTAAGCAACTCAGATCCTGTCTCTAAATAAAATACAAAATAGAGCTGGGGTTGTGGCTCAATGATTGAGTGCCCCTGAGTTCAATGCCCTGTAACTCCCCGCAATGGAAAATAAATAATTCTCAAAAGAAGAAATATAAATGGTCAATAAATACATGAAAAAATGTTTAACATCTCTAGCAGTTAGGAAAATGCAAATCAAAACTACATTGAGATTTCATCTCACTCCAGCCAGAATGGCAATTACAAATAATGTTGCTGAGAATGTGGGGAAAAAGGTACACTCATACATTGTTTGTGGGGACTGCAAATTCGTACAGCCACCCTGGATAGAAGTATGGAGAATCCTCAAAAAACTAGGAATGGAACCACCATATGACCCAGCTATCCCACTCCTCCGTATATATCCAAAAGATTAGAAATTAGTATATTACAGTGATGCAGCCACATCAATGTTTATAGTCACACAATTCATAATAGCCAAGCTATGGAACCAACCTAGGTGCCCTTCAACAGATGAATGGATAAAGAAAATGTGGTGCATATGCACAATGGAATATTACCCATAATGAAGAATGACATCATGACCTTAAGTGTAATAAGCCAGTTCCCAAAACTTGAAAGGTTGAATGTTTTCTATAATATGTTGAAGTTAATCCAGAATGAAAAAAGGGGATAGGAATTAAGAAAAAATGGGGAGAGAGAATTTCATCAAAATAGAGGAAAGATAAGTAGAGTAGGCAAAGGGAGAAAGAAGGGAAAAGAAAAGTGAAGTACAGTGGAATAAATCTGATGAACTTTTTGTGTGTGCATGGATGTGCACAGTGGGTCCCAGCATAGGGTGTATTCACAGGACACTAATTAAAAAAAAATGTAAATGGATTGAAGAGGGATCCATTGAGTGGAGGGAGAGGAGCTAGATGTGGGTGAGAAGTGCTGGGGACTGAGTTGGAGTGGATTGTAGTCCACGCTTTTGTGATAATTTCAGGGTACATCCTGGTGTTGTATATTACTAAAAAATAAATAAATAAAGCCAAGATCAATAGTTGTTGCCTTTGTTTCTGTGAAAGAGAATATCTTGAGTTAAATATCTTGAGTTCTCTTGACCTTTTCTTTGTGGTTCCAAGGTAGCTGCTAAAGCTCCAGCAAGCATACTCACATTCTGGGCAGGAAGAAGGAATAATGCACAAAATACTTCCATTTGCATCTCATTGGCTAAGAAACACGTGACTACCCTTGGCTATAAGGGAGTTAGGGATATGATGTCATTTAACTAGATACATAACACATCAATACATTCTGAGTTCTGTTAATAAGAAATAATGGGTAAATAAATATTGAAAAGCAACTAACATCTGTGCTACAGATGAAATTGTTATTTCAATATAAAATACTTTTTAATGGTTCAAAAGTTCTAAAGTAATACTTCAGAAAATAACCATATTGTTTGTTTGAATGACAGCTGTGTGATTGTGGTGTGTGTGTGTGTGTGTATATATATATGTGTGTGTGTATATATATATATATATATGTATATATATATATACATACACACATATATATATTAATATACATATAGTTTTTTAATTTGTTGGTACTTGGAACTACACTTGGCTGTCATTTTTATTTTTAAATTTGAGACAGGGTTTTTCTGAGTTCCTGAGTCTGGTCTTGAATTTGCAATTCTCCTGCCTCAGCCTTTCGAACTGCTGGGACTATAGGCATGTGCTACTATGCCCAGCTTAATCTCCTTATGTCTGAATTATAATTGAGAAAAAGTGAGATGCATGTCTCTTTTTTAGAATTGTAGGATAGAAGAATGAAATAAATCATCTTTCTTAAGGTCCAGTATTATCCTTAATATATTTCTGGATATGTTGTAAAACAAGTTGAAAGTCGTCTGAGGACATACTATTTCTAAATTTATGAAAAGTAAGAAGCTATTAAAGAAACCAAATAACTGACAGTTAAATGTAGACCTCAGATCATCTCTATGCTTTGAGAGTTAAAAAATGTGGACTTCCTGGTAGTTCTATGTTTTGAGAGTTATACGATATTTTCAGTCTTTAAGAAGAGTTCCTTGAGAATGTTTACGCCATGCATGACTTGTAAACATTCCAGTCATCTCTGCTCTTGAATTCTTATTCATAGATTTTTTTCCTTTCATATATTAATGAAAAGCACACTGTGAGTGGATGAAAATCTTGCTGACTTTGCCTGTTGTAAGGGAATGTATATATGTGTGGATGTTGGTGTGGATGTGTATTGGATTTTTAAATTTTTAACAAGATTATTTCTTGTTCACACACAGAAGTGATCATTTTGGCTCTTTCTAGAATTTTCTATCACTGGCAGGTCAAATGAAAGAAAAGCAGTCTTTCTGATACTTCTTTCCTTTTTTGATAAATTATGGTGGCAGGCAGTGTCAACCAACCGTGTCACCTCACAGTGAAACAGCCCCAATTCCAGTTCCTACTCAAATAAGGAATTATCAACGCATTGAACAGAATCTTACATCTACTGCCAGCTCTGGCACAAATCCGCATGGTTCTCCAAGGTAAGGCAGTGTCTGGATTCCTTTTTTAAAATTTGTTTCTTTAAAAACCTTTTATTTTTCTTACTGAAAATCTGTTAATTTCAAATATATAAATATATTTGCCCACAGGTATAATTACTTTTGAGAATTTGAGAAAGAGCTTGTTAAAAAATGAAATCCCAAATTGCAGTAAATTATTTATATATTGTTTATTTCCCATTTTGAGACCCCATTAAGATGATAGTAAAAGAATAACAAAGTCTGAGTCCACAAAAATAAGCAAAATAAGAAAAAATATTTATTGGTGACAGATTCCAGTAAATTTTTTGGAAATGAAGAGGACTGAGGAAGGGTTCCTGCTTTAGCAGGCAGATGTAAATGTGCATGTAATCAAGGATTCTGGCAGAATGAGAATCACTATGCCTCTAGCCCCAGAGAGACCTAAATCTCAGAGAACTCAAGTAAAGTGGAGGAATTAGCACTTCAACTAATGGTAACTTATTGTACATATACATGTACCTAGTCAGTTACATATTCTATTCTAGATATACAGCCTATGAATATAAAATTGTATATATAAAAAGTTATTAACTGTTATGATAGCAAAGAATGAAAAAGAAGCCAACTGCCCACCAACTGCTCATTGATTTGCTATAATTCATCTAAGACAATGGAATCCTATGCATCTTCTGTTCCAAAAGGGTAAGGAAGCTCTGTATTGAGGCAGAAAAATTACTATAGTATAGTATAAAATGAAAAAAAAAAAAAAAGAATGGTTATAGTATATCAAGCAGTGACCCATGAGGTTAAAAGTGTTTTCATAATAGTGCTAGGACATTGTTTCCTTTTTTCACTGCATGATACATGCACTGATGATGCAGAAAACAAAGATGAGTAATACTGCTGGTGCCTTAACTTGAACCAGGGTGATGACACTCAACTGTACTTTCAGTCTTTAGGCTCTTTACCACCACATACTTGTGTTATAAAGGAATGTCCTTGACAAATTATTAAAGGACTAAATTATTTCTCATTGAAAATCACAATCATTGAATAGAATGTGCATATAAAGCACTTTTGCTATTACAATAGTTTTAGGAAAAGCACTGGTATGATTGTAAGCTAAATAATCACTTTTTTTATAGAGCACTCTTTTTACTTCAATGAATGACTGACAAACTATGATATGTTTCTAGCAGTTGTTTTGTAAATATAATCTAAGTTTTATTACTTTGGAGAAAACAAGTGACAATAAATGTCTTTTTAAAATTTTTGGTGATATTAGGGATTAAACTTGGGGATACCCTACCACAGAGCTATGCCAGTCCTTTCTGTTTTTCACTTTGAGACGGGGTCTTAAATTACCCAGGCTGGCCTCAACTTGTGAGTCTCCTGCTTCAGTTTCCGGAGTTGCTGGGATTATAGGCATGTGCCACGTAGTGGCATAAGTGACAATAAATGTCAATGATAAAATTGGAGCATTCAAGTAAAAAGTAGAATATTGGAAAACTTATATTAACCCCTGTGATCTTGAAGATCAAAAGTTCTTGTGATCAGAAGAGTCTTGCCAGACATTTCTGTTAACATGAATGGTGACATTTTGGTATGAATGAGACTTTTTAACATTATATGTTAAATATTTGGAATATCTGCATAATTAAATGAACCATTATTATCCAAATGATGAATGTGAAAAAAATCATTGAACAGATAAAAGGTTCATTCAGAGTAAAAGATACTTTGCAGAACAATGAAGTTTAATGTAACAGTGCAAGAGTTCACGGAGGCTGGGTATGGTGGCCGGTATTCCTGTGTTGTAGCACATTTGAAATAAATCACTGGCAGTCCTGAATCAGGACATGGGACTTTATTCACCGGTATGCCAAGTGACCAAGTTGACTTTGCCCGCCTTGACCCTTTGCAGAAGGCAGGGTATCTCTTTTACAGTCAAAACCCTCAAGCTACCAGTAAGTCAAAACATAGCAACCTAGGAAGTAGGTCTGAATGATTCAGTTCAGGGTACAGTACACTGCCCAAGAAAAATGGGAATTAAAAAAGAACATCTTACAAATGCATTTATTTCTTTTTAAAAATATATTTTAGTTATACATGGACACAATATCTTTATTTTGTCTATTTTTATGTAGTGTTGAGGTTTGGACCCAAGTGCCTCACATGTGTGTTTTGTACCTGAGCCACAATCCCAGCCCGAAATGCATTTCTTAATAATACATTGTATAAGAATAACAGAAACATTTTTAACCACCCTGCATTGTCAGACAGGGTGTGCTCAGCAGGAGGTGGCAGAGGTGGGATTTTCTCATGGGAGAAGCATTTCTTACATGAAATGGAGTCTTAGGGTAAAATGGA